GCCTACGTAATTACCATTTCTGATGTTCGTCATTCCTTTGTGTAGATCCAGGTTTCCACCTGATATCTTTTTCTTCTGCTTGAAGGACTTCCTGTAGTGTATTTTATAGTGCAGAGCTGCTGTGATGGTTTCTTTGCTTTTTTCAGCTTTCTTGTGGTATAATTGGCAAATAAAGGTTATATATATTTAAGGTATATAACTTGACATTTTGATATACGTATACATTGTAAAGTGATCACCACAATCAAGCTAATTAACATACCCATCACATCACATAGTTACCATTTTCTCTCTTTCTTTTCTTTTGGTGATGGTGAGAACACTTAAGATCTACCCTTTTAGCGAATTTCAGGTATACAATTAAATATTGTTAACTATAGTCACCATGATGTACATTAGATCTCTAGAACTTATTCATCTTGCATAACTGAAACTTTGTACCCTTTGACCAGCATCTCCCCATGTATCCCTCCCCCAGCCCCTGGCAACCACCATTCTGCTCTCTGCTTCTATGAGTTTTTTAGATTCTGCATATCAATGAGATAATGCAGTGTTTGTCTTTCTGTGTCTAGCTTATTTCACTTAGCATAATGCCTTCCAGGTCAATCCATGTTTTTGCAAATGACAGAATTTCCTTCTTTTTTAAGGCTGAATAATATTCCACTGTGTATGTGTGTGTATCTGCTTGTGATGAATTCTTGCAGCTTGTGTATGTCTGAAAATATCTTTATTTTATCTTCATTTTTGGAAAGATATTTTGGTATAGAATTCTAGGTTGACAGGGTTTTTTCCCTCTAGTACTTTAAAGATATTGCTCCATTGTCCTATAGCTTGTGTTATTTCTGACATGAAATCTTCTGTAATCCTTTTCTTTGTTCCTTTGTATGCAATATTTCTTTTTTCTCTTAAGATTTTCTCTTTATCACTGGTTTTCAGCAATTCACTGGTGTAGTCTATTTCGTTTCTTATGCTTGGGGTTCTTTGGATCTGTGGGCTTACGGTTTCCATCAAATCTGTAAATTTTTTGGTTATTATTTCTTCAAATACTTTTTCTGTCTCCCATCCCCTCGTCTCATTTGGGGCCCTGATTACATGTGTATTTAGCCACTTTAAGTGGTCCTATAATTTATTGATGTTCTCTATCCCTCTTTTTTTTTTTTTTTTTTTTTGTATTTTGCCCTCTCTGTGTTTCATTTTGGATAGTTTCTATTGTTATGTTTTCAAGTTCACTAGTCTTTTTTCTGCAGTTATATAATCTGCTATTAATACCTTGCAGTCTATTTTTCATCTCACATATGGCAGTTTTTATCTCTGGAAGTTTGATTTGGGTCTTTTTTTACAGCTTGTGTGTCTCTATTTAACATGTCTCATAATTCCTCTAGCTTCTTGGGTGGAAGACAGTCACAATAACTGTCTTAATAGCGTCTCTACTAATTCTATCATCTGTGTCCTTTCTTGCTGGGTTTCAGTTGATTGATCCTCCTGCTTGTTAGGAGTTGCTTTCCTGCTTCTTTGTGTACTTGGTAATTTTTTATTGGATGCCTCACGTTGTGAATTTTACCTTTTTGGGTACTGAATACTTTTGTGTTCTTAGAAATATTCTTGAGATTTGTTCTGGGTTATAGTTAAGTTACTTAGAAAGAGTTCTATCCTTTCTTGTCTCTCCTTTAAGCTTCATTAGATGGGATCAGAGCAGTGCTTAGTCCAAGGTTGATTCTTCCCGTTACAGAGGAAAGACCCTTAGTCTCTAATTGATGCCCTGTGAATGGGATTTGGGTTTGTCGTTTTTCTTTTTCACTCTAGGAAACAAGAGTAAACAGGAAACAGTTGGCAACAGGCGCTATTCTCAGCCCTCTCTGTGAGCCCCAAGCACTGTGCCTTCTAAACCTTTCAAGTGGTTCTTCACTGGCCTTCACTCATTTTTTGGTCTGTACTCAGCTGAGGGCTCAAGGGAGGCCCTCTGGAGAGACGTGGAACTTCTTTCTGTGCAGCTGTCTCCTCTCCATTACTCTCCCTGCAAGCTCTAACTCTGCTGGCCTCTGCCCATGTCCCCGTCTCCTGTGCCACACCCCAGACACTTTCTCAGGGCAGTAAGCTGGGGCAACTGTGGGGCTCACTTCGGCTGTTTCTCATGTCTCAGGATTAACTGTCTCTCCTTGCCCAATTTCCAGTATCTTCACAGCCTTTTGTTTTTTTTGTCATATATTGTGTCCAATGATTTAGTTGTTTCAGATGCGAGGCTAAATCTGGCCTTCTTACTCCATCTTGTCTGGAAACAGAAGTGGTTTCAAGGCATTTTTCATTTCTTTATGCTCTCCTGTATTAAGGTGTTGTTGAACTAAGCATGGTTTGCACTAAGCACGTTTCACTCATAATTATATTTGTTAAAGCTTCTCTATTCATCAAGTAAATATGTAAAAAAAGACAAATGACCTACTATGGAAAGACATTTGTAGCATAAAGTTTTACCATATAAAGAATTCTTACCAATCCATGAGAAAAAGATAGAAATTATAATAGAAATATAAATGGCCAATGAGTGTATTTTTTTAAGTGATTTCCCCAACTAGTAATTAAAAAACCTGTAAACATTAGAATCTTGGACTGAGGACCATCATTCCTCTTTCTATTTGGCAGTGCTGGTGAGAGTGTGGGGACTGGGCGCTCCCATACCACGTTGGTGACATGTATACTGCCTCTGTCACTCTTGGGACCATTTTGCCAGCGTATATCTGGATGTGTAAAAGTGAGCATGCCTTAACCCATAATTTTACTTTTAGTAACTCATTCTGAAGAAATTAAGAATGTGAGCAAAGATTTAGGTGTAAGATGTTTCATTAGGGGCCAGCCCCATGGCCTAGTGGTTGAGTTTGGCGCACTCCACTTCAGTGGCCCAGGTTCAGTTCCCCGGGCGCGGACATACACCCTACATCACTTATCTGGGGCCATGCTGTGGTGGCAACCCACATACAAAATAGAGGAAGATTGGCAACAGATGTTAGCTTGGGGTGACTCTTACTCAGCAAAAAAAAAGAGATGTTTCATACATTAGTGTTTATGATGGTGGAAATATTGAAACCACTTAAATGGTCACAAATAGGAATTGGTCAACAAATTTGATACGTCTGGAATATGGTTTTGGTGTTGTCATAGAAACAGCATGGTTGAAAATTAAGTGACACAAAAAGATTTTTATCACATATGAAGTAAAAATACAGTTTACAAAACAGCATGTGCTACAAGATCCCATCTTTGTTCGAAAATTGATGCATAGAAAAAGATAATCCTCTAAAATATGAACATTAATTATTTCTGAGTGCTGAATTTATGAGTGCTTTTATTTCTTTATTTTTATTTAGTCATATTTTCAAGTTTCCTACCATAAATATGTATTGCCTTTGTAACAAGAAGAGTAGGGTTATTTTTAGTTATTTAAAATGTTTGTTCAATATTTGCATTTTCGTGCTATAGGCCAGGGGTGGGCAGACTTTTTCCGTAAAGGGCCAGGGAGTGAATACTTAAGGCTTATGGTACAGGTGGTCTCAGTCAGAAATGCTCCATCGCTGTTATAGCACAAAAGTAGCCACAGCCAATATGTAAATGAATGGATGTACATGGCTGCATTCCAAAGGAACTTGGTTTTCAAAGAGAGATAGATGGCAGGCTGGATTTGGCCTGTGGAATATCCTTTGCTGACCACAGCTATAGGCTCTTGGGGGTCTAGACTAGCTGCGGGCTAGCATCCCTCTGTGCTTAGGTATTTTCAGGCTCTTGTTCATTGCTTTTCTCTTCCAGCGCACTTAAGAAAAAGCCGTGAACCCACATGAATGGAATCCACATTTGTAGAAAATGTATTAATCAAGTTTGTTTTTCTCCTCACTTTAAAACCATTCTTTTAAGGCCATTATTCCATTGTTATTTTGACTTTTTCTTTCCTCAATATAAAAGGATCTTATTTGGTAGGCCTTGGGATCTTGAGGCTTTAGTTATAGAAAAATTAAATGCTTAACAATGTTATTTTCTAGTGCCTAGGTATTCATTTCTGCAATTAAATATGGATGAAATGGGTAACAAGGCCTATCTATGTCTTTTTCTTTTTCCAAGTAAAGCTTAAGATGTCAAACAAATCCATACTCTCGAAAGGAGTAGGTAAGTCTAGTGTAGATAAATGAAATACTGATGCCCCCCAAACCTGCTTTAAGAAATCCTTACAGCTTCCTTCCCAGTAAAAGCGTTATCTGAGAGTCTGCTAGCAGAAGTCGCTGATGAGTGTTAGCTCTCTTACTCTTTGTTACCAGTGATGTCATGAATTCAACGGTGCACCCCTTTACCACTCTGGATTCTGGGTCCTCTGTACACTGTAGATGTGACATAGGTCAAGGGTAGGGCGGGGTAGAGTCTCCTGGGCCGGTCCAACCCAGGTGATCTTGGAACCCATTAAGAGTGTGGAACAGGCTGATGTGAGGACACTATTCTAGAATCCACCAGAGAGCACGAACTAGGGTTGCCTCCGCCAGGGGACAGCCCCATGATTCAGGCAGTTTCGGCTGAGATTTCTGCTACAGACACTACTGCCCTTCCTTCTTACTCTTCCTTGCTCGTCTCCACTTCTCCAGGAAGCACCACCAACACAGCTGTCCCTACCGGGCACTGACCCACGATGCTCTCTCACCTGCATAGCCTTGCTATGCAGCCTTGCTAGCCCTCCACACAGCACCTGATGCTTCCGTATATGCCCTTCTGCACATTGCTGTCCACCACACAGCTTCAGCACCTGCAGACCTTGAAACATGCTGTTGTTCCAGTTGCAAGGGACTGGACCCTCTGAAGGCACGTAGCCACTGAGACCTCCTCGGTGCATGCTTAGATGCCTGAGCCGTTGGAACCTGAGTGCTGATATGACTGTGGTTTGATAAGGCAAGGGGTTATCTCTTTTGTCATATGTTAGAGATGGACTGCTCATTTCATAGCTGTGGATTTCCCCCCTTCTGTCTCCTCAGAAATTGCAGGTGCTCTGGTGTCTGAAATTTCTGGACCTTTCTCAACCGACGACATAGCCAGCAACTGTGTCCCCACCCTGCCTTTGAATGAGCCCATTTTGTGGATTGTCTCCTATACTCTCATGAGCGTGTGTGGAATCATCCTTCTTATCTTAATCATCCTGCTGCTACTTCCATCCCGGTGTCAGCAAGACCCCCAACACCCCGAGGTTGTCACTGATGAGTCCTCTCTCGTCCGACATCGCTGGAAATGAAGAGCAAAGCCTGAACTCAGGCAACCTTGAACTCAACTATTAAGAGAAATAAATTTCAAGTGCAGCAAGCAGGGGTTATAAGGCAAGGTTTCTTCCTATGTCAATTAGTCTTAAATCTCTGTTCTGCTCCCAGATGCCTTCCAGACTCACTGTATTTTGATTCTTAATTTTAAAGCTTCCTCCTTCTCTCCTACTTCCAAGAAAAATGATAATAAAAAACACCTCATTCTAAACCAAAACAGAGTGAATTGGGCTTCAGACTTTATGTGACTGGTTATGCCAAACTGTCTAGGTGTGCCACCAAAAAAAAAAGCAAGCCTTGGCTAGTTCTCCTCTTCTTCCCATCTCTGGAGAAATGAGTGCATATAGTTTATAACTCCTCTTAGCTAATGGGAAGCTTTTTGTATTAATTGCATTTAAGAGTATTTTGCACCAAGCCTCAGCCTGAATCAGAGTCATACAAGAAGGCTTGCAAAATGATGGCAGAAGAAGAAGCCTGGAGCCTGATGATATAACCATCCTGCCCCCTTCTGAGTTGGAAAAGAAGCAGTAAGCCCCTTTTCTGGGTCTCTCTGTGCTCTGAATGGGAGCTAGAGTCCTCAAGGAGGAGATCATCACCAAACAGCCTTCACCAGCCTCCTCTGAAGATAGAAGGCCTTCTGTCCATCGTGGTAGAGTGGGAAGGAAACCTACTCTTTTGTACTTGCTACTTCCATAGTATTGTTGGTATAAAAGTCTACCTCTGTTGAGACTTTGCCTAGGGTCCTGTGCCTGGGTGTGAGTGCAGGCAGCCTGGTTCCAGCTGCTGCCCTCACCTAAAAGAATCCTCATTCCAACAGGTGAGATGTAACAGGTGCTGAACTGCACATCAACCTGGAGAAGTTCTGTCACCAAGCTTGTCATTATTTGCATATGCTTAGTCTCCCTTAAAATTAATAAACAGGGTTTTAATGCGAAACACAAGTTCTATTTCACTAGCTTAGTTGTTTCTTTCTCCAAATTTTCTCTGAAGGTAGGTTTATTGTTACCCTTTGGGGAAATAGGGAAATGGCTAAATGCCCTTACTTCTAAGCAGCTCTCAAGGGAAGGAAGATGCAAGACCTGCAAAGGACGGGAAGGGAACGCGCACTTCTTCCTGTGCTTTGAAACCATGTGTTTCTGTTTGCAGAATCCCCTAGACTCAAGCACACCCATCTGAATCAGCTTAAATAAACCTGTTGAGCAGTTGACCCACATCCTTCTTCCCCTTGGCATGTTCAATCTTTGGTGATGAGTTGGATGTGCAGTGGTATCCTTATTTGAGGAAATTTCCACTTGCTATCATTTATTTAAGGCCTTTGCCAAAGAAAAGCAGAAGACTTTAACTCAGTGTAGTCAGCTTTATGTGATCTGAGGTAATTAGGAGAAGGGTTCAAAGCCAATAGCCCTTCTCTCTTGTTCTTGTGCCATGTTCGCTGTTCACTCTGCGTTGCTATTGGAGTGAGTTGGGTATATAATAAAATTCCACTGGAAGGGCTAACTATGGAGCATCTTCTCCAGCTGGACTGTTGTGTTCAAAATAGGCTACATGTGGATGTTTCAGCTATCTGGTCCTCACTGGCTCCCCAGGTCACCTCCATATTTAGAAATATATGACCATGCCAAAGAGATGTGGGGCCACTTATACGTGTCATGGTGTCCTTGCAGACTCTCCAGCAGCCAGAAGAATCTGTGAGATTGTTGTGGAGAAGGTTTAAGTTGCATCTTAAAAAGAACATGAGTCTTCTGTGTTCTTCAAGATATAGCTCAAGCATGGCAGGAACAATGCCCTCTTGGAATGGGACGCTAGGAGGGGATTCTGTCGTCAGATGCTCATTATCATTTCTGGTCTCGGCTAGTTGACGGGATAATTTCAACATACATTTCAGAGTTAGAAGTCTCTGGAAGTCTGATTCTCTTCTTGCCCTGTTGGCTTTTTCACTGGTTCCTATTTTGTGGGCCACTTTGCACACACTTGAAGGCAACACCCCTAGACTGTGCTTTTTCCCTTTGCTGTGAAAAGTCTGAACCCCTGAAATGAAAAGAGAGAATTGCAGATATGACCCAGTTAGTTTTGCTCCGTATTTCTTCATACAGGTGTCTTCTGTTCCCTTGTCTCATGTTAGGTTCTGAGCTGGGGAACATTTATGTTGCTGCATATTAGCAGGCACTGTTCCCAGAATACATGATAATAGCAAGTTAGATGTCAGGCTAGGGTATTTGAATGAAGTTTGCTATAATACTCTGTATTTCCTATCAAATTTCTCTACCCTTTCATCTCAGATGTCATTGGATGTGACATTTTAATGGAAATACTTAAATTACAAAAGCATAACTTAGCGACAGGGATGAAATAGACGATTGAATGTGGGCTGTTTTCCTGGCATGCTTTGCTGCTGAAAATTGGACTTTGAGTCAAAACCCTGTTAGTGACACCCACCTCCTCGAGTTACGTAAATTGATACTTGGCTTGGAAAACCCTCAAGGAGGCTTGCTTTGAACAGGAAAGGAAGTAGCAACCATTTGAGGGTGTCATTTTTACCTTGTAACACACTGTGGAAAATGCTGGAAGATGCTCCTTTCCTGAAAGATGCAACTTAACATTAGGTTGTTGTCAAAACCTTGTCAACTCTCTGATGGGAAATGGATGCTTCTCCATGAACAATTTTTTTTAAATAGGGTGATGCTTTATATCCTTGATAAGTTATTCGGAAAGCTGAAATGAAATCCTGTCTTCAACTGAAGCTGTTTATGGAAAATAGCAAGAAATGAGTTGGGGATTGATTCTATTTTTTTCCTCCAGAATTTAAAAAAACCACAAGTCATTGGTTGACCTTTATCGTACACTATTTTGTATTTCTTAGAATCAAAAACAAGTACCTAACATTAAAGAAACAGATTCCTTGAGTGTGACAGTGGAGAATGTTTCCCTGAACACAGTCCACTCCCAAATATTTGGAAGGATTCTCTACTGATTCATTGTGAAATGCAAAGCTTTTGGTTGGAGATAAATTTTGGGTCAATTATGGTTCGAAATTATGAAAGGAATTCCCAGTGATGCAGCATTAACAACTCTGCAGAGCTTTGAGAGTTTTTTTGCAAAGCAGTTGTGATTTGGAAATTCCATTAATTCACTTAAGAGGTGAGGAAGGATTATTTCACTATTTAATAGGTTCTTCACACTAATGAAAATTTGCTAAATTCCTCTTACCAGATCCCCACATGGTGGAGTTGCTCAGCATAGTTCAGTTCTAAGTTCTGGCCTGGTGCCACTTGATGTCTTTGGGAATAAATCACTGCCCAACACCTGTTCCATAAACAGCAATAATTGAGTTTCACAGACTTCATCCTTTTCAGTGGAAACCAAGTAATTGGATGGAATCCCAGTGCATTTTCTCTTGCACAAACTTATTAGAATTGATTACAGAACTGTTCAGAGGAAAAAACTTGCCACTAAGATTTTTTCTTTTTTACGAAAAACAACTAAACACCACAAAATGTAAAATTACAGGTTTTGCCAAGAGACTAGGTTTTTAGTGCCAAGAAAACTCCACACCACAGAAGTTACTGTGTACATTTCTAGTGGGTTTTAAGGATTTCAGATTTGAACCTATGGCAGTTTACCAATTAAATAGCAAGCTGGAAAAATACATTTCAAAGTGGGGAAGGAAAATAAAAATATAATCAAAAGTATGCTAACAAAATAAGAATTTGCTGTCTTGGAAAAGTAGCTTTAATTGCAGGAATCCTCAGATTTCTTTACCCTTAAAGTTGCTGAGTCTGTTGGAGATGTGATTTATTTTACGCAGCCACAAATCCCAAACTTCAAGAATATTCAAGCTGGAGTCGTGTGTCGGATATCAGCATGGACAAAGTGAAAAAATGTGGCCCCTTACGCTTTGCATTGCCCAATCCAGGCGAAGATTGGTTCATTCAAGGAACAGAGAGTAGAGGATGGTTGAGACTTGGAAAATTCTAGAATCTGGGAAAGGAGGTTGGGTAAGAAGTCATATCCCTTGGTCAGCAGATGACCACAAAGGTCTGGAGGGACTGACGACATCCCTGTATGTCGTAGACTACTCACTTCACCCAAGTTTTTGGCACAGCCTACTTTTTAGGAATTATCCAAAGGAACCTCTTAGGATTTATAATTTGTCAAAGAGAAAGTTGCTTTGCAGCCGTATTTAGATCCCCTCTGTCCTAGTAAAACTAGAGGTGCCTGAACTCCCAAGCAGGACACGGTCCTTAGGCTGCCAGTTCAAGGTTGTGCACTAGGAAGTTCACAGGGCAGGGTCAAGAGGCTGGAGCCAAAGGGGAGGTGGCAAAGTTTGAGATCTGAGCATCTGGGAGAGGGTCCTGGCAGCCGCTGCCCTGAGAGTCTCATTGAAAGCCAGAGCAACTCAGATGCAGCCATTTCCCCCCAACCATGCTGGGCCAGCCCACTGATGTGGAAAGACTCCTGCAGGTTCCTGACCACACTGCTCTGGGAACCCCTTCTGTCAGAGACACCTCCAGGAAGAAGAGCTTGAAGGGGAGCAGAAGGCTCCTTCCTGTCACTGCTGTCAGCCTCTGAGCACCTGTGCATCAGTGTGGCCCAGGGGCCACCAGCATCCCTCGCAGGTCCATGTCATCCTGGAGCTCACCCTGGTCCTATTCAGAGTCAATGCAGTCATTAGTCTCCACTGGAGAGTCTAGTGAAACACAACCCATGACTTTCAGCCTTGGGCGAGTGCCCTGGGTTGGTGAGAATGTCTTCCTGGGGGCGGGTGAAGACAGCCTGACACAGCTATTAGCCATATTTGAGGAATGGGGAAGTGAGAGCAAAGCCAGGCCTCGTAAGTGACATCCATGTGTCTGTAAAACTTCTGGTCACATTAGTTGTTTGAGGACACACAACTTCAACCAATCCATACTGTGTTTTCTTCCCTACCCGAGCTTTCTCTGGGTTTTTTATAATCAGATATCACATACAGATGTCCAGTGTTTCCAAACCACATTGCACTGTGTAATTTTACAGCACACTTGCTCTTCAAGAGCAAGCGCCCAGTAGCTAAAGGCTGGGTCAAGAGGCACTTAAAGGTTCCTGATACATTCAGATCCAGCCCAAGGCAAGAGTGACTCCAGAGTGCCTGATCTTTGATGCTCCAGGGCCTCTACGTGTCCCGTGAAGCCTTTGGGTACTTGTTGTGTCCAGTTAGCATCTCAGGTTACAGGAGAGGCTGTGCTGGTAGAATACCTGTCTCGCCACTAGATATCCGCTGGTCAGGGTCTGCCCGTGCCTACCGAGCAGCGATGAGAAGTGGGTAGATCCCTTTACAGGTGGAGAATGATTTGTATGGGACCAACTGGGTAAAGTCTGAATTGTACGTAGCACACAGGTGTACCCCACACATATCAATCTGAGTAGAATATTTTGTCAATATAGATTTATAATTATATAGTTACAAATTATAGATTTATAAAATCGAGTTCAAATGAGTTAAGCACAACTGTCATCTTAATGGTATTACTAAAAGGAGACTCAAAACATTGAGCATCTTTGAAACCTTGCTTCCTTTACCAATAATGTTTTTCCACAGAATTTTCTTCATTTAGGTTGGACTATATGTGTTTTTATTCATGGTGCATGCACGGATCAGAATATCGTAAGAAGGCAAGAGTGTCCAAAAGGGAGGGCTTATTTTTTTCTCTAAGTGCTGTATGTAGAGGTTGTTGAAAATTTCCTGGTATAACTAAGATTTCAGTTTGCCTCATTTTACCTTTATTGAGGTAAAATTTCACGTTTTTGAAGTTAACACTTCTGAATGAAAATTAAGGAAACATTCAAAGATTATCTTTTTGAGATAAAGAAAATATGAACAAAGCTAATTAAGGATCTAATGATCTATAATGGAAATCACCAAAAGTAAACTTACTTAACTCCAGTTTCGTATACAATTTTGTGTTCTTTGTAGCTAGTGGTAACGACTTGGGGTTTTTTTTTCTCATTTTCCTAATTGTAGATATAATGTTTTACATTCTCATCAGTGAGTTTTGAAATTCTACTTAGCGTTGGGATTACTTAACATAATGTGAGGAAAGAGGATGAATGAGATTTGTCACGAGCTAATAAAAGCTGAATGTTTGTAATCTAAAATGATGTACTTCCTACTATCTCTGTTAATTTGCACTAGTATATAGTTAAGTATATGAGTTATATATAAAGTATATAAGTTAAATATGCTTAAAGTTTAAAATCCCTATGTTCGGTCACTTAAAGCAGCCACTCATTTTTTCTTTAAAAAGGTGACTTTGTTGCTCTAGCAGTGTGTCTGTACTGGCCAAAGAGCTGTAAGCCTTGTATTCTAAAAAGGATGCTAAATACAGTGCTTTGCAAAACGGATTTCTGTGTGTATCTCAGATGAACATCCTTTAATACACAATTCTTCAGTGTAATTTGTATTTCTGAAAATGCTTAAGATTATTTTCTATTTGCCATTTGGGATTTTCCTCTGTTTTTAGTATACCGTGTTGGTTTAAATTCAAGTCATGGTAGGACCAAGAGTAGCAGTAAAGAGGCATCCACTCCATCCTAGAAGTGGCCCTGTAGCTACTGACCTGTGTCCAAATTGTTGTGCGCTTCAAACCTGGAGTTTTCTAAAATGATCTTATTTTTATACTTGTATGTTCCACCAGTTTAAGATGTTGTATACCATTGAAAAGGAAATAAAAGAGTTTGGTTTGTTTGAATAAATAATACTTCCAACTTGTTGGGTTTGGCATTTTTTTATTACTAGGTTCAGGTCACACGCCTGAAATTGCTGTTGGTGGCGTGTCGTGGTCCGCTTACCTCTATCACTTTATTGTGGGTTCCTGGGAAGTATCCAAGATAGAATCGAATGGAGGGAGGGTCCAGGGCCATTCATTAAGCTGTAAACTGTTCTGAAAATGAGAGAAGAATGAAGTCCTGTAGATGTGAGAACCATCCCAGGAGCAGAGAGAAACCGAGTGTGGATCAGACACCCAGTAAGCAGATGTAAGCAGCCACAAGGATTGGACAGGGTATTCAGCCTCGTCCTGGGGACCAAATATGTCCAGACGCAAATGCCTGTGCCGTCTCCCTCACACGGTCACCCCGCAAAGAGATGGTTTTCTCCCCATTCTCTAGACGGGAAATCAGCTCCAACTCACATACCGAGGAAAACACAGTCAGAAAAGTGTTTGCCATGGAGGTGGACCCAACTTTGTCCGCCTCCGAAAGCCAAGCTCTTTCTCTGCACCACATTCTAGCCCAAGTGCGATGCGGAATCACACCTTCCAGAAGTGTGATGTATCATTTGGGCAGTAAGGACCCAGCTGAGTGGGTCAGTCTAGAGAGGGGTGTGCGCCAACTTGTGCAAAGCAAAAATGGCACTTAATTAATGGAGACGGACATCACCCATGAGCCGTGATCTGGCTGCTACACCAATCCTTGGGAAATATGCTTCTTTCGATGACTAGACACTTCTTGTTGGACAATACCCAGACCAAAAAAAAAAAAGGAAAGGGATTTCAGACTGTTATGAGGTGAAGAACTAGTTACTGGAGAAACAGAATTGGATATTTGCTTCCTAATAACAAAGGAGAGAATTTGATTTCATTTCACTTGTGTTTTCTATGCTGGTTTTTCCTATTTTGCCTTCCCTAAGTGGTGGCTGGCATTGCAAATGTGATTTAGCACGTTTGTCACTAGGTGGTGCTGTTGTAAAACTTTGTGGTCTGACGTTTGCGCTTCTATTTTTTTCATTCTGTGTGGCTTTCAAAAGCAACTTTTATCAAGTGTGTGTGTAACTAAAGTTTATCCCAGCAACTATCCAAGGATGTCTACTCCTCCATTCTTCTCCAAAATATAATCTGCAAAATATGCTAGCTAGATGCATAGGAAATCTTGGAAATAATCCCCAAATACACATCTCCAGCCCCTGGCCTGTCTACTTGGCTCTCGCAGAGGGAAGGAAACTGAGTCACGGAGAGGGGCTGTAAAATCTCCAGGGTCTCCCCATCCGTGGCAGAGTCCAGATTCAAAAAGCCAGCTTGTCTGATTACGAGACCTATGATCTCAACCATTTTGCTACTGTCTTGATAAGGTTAAAAACTGGAAATTGAAAGAAAAATTATTTTTAAAAATTAAACATGATGTATGCTAAAATCAAAATGTTACAAGGGAAAATATTTGTAACAACTGTAAGGACAAAAGCTAACATTTATTAAGCAGCAAATTCTGGCCATGCATACTAGATGCATTATGACATTTCATCCTCAGAATAGCCCTATCCGGTACACATTGTTACTAAAAATATTTTTAAACTCTGGGGTGGAAGGCAGGGGGCACAGAGAGGACAGATTCAAACAAGTCAAGGAGTAAGGGGAAAGGAAGGTCTCACCCCACAAGATGAGATTCCACAGGCTGAGGTCTTAAGTGTGTCATCGTGGTAAACAACATGAAACAAAACCAAAAGGCCCTCTGTCCTTCGCATATAAAAATCTCATACAAATAAGCCAAATGTGTGGAGCTGGCCCGGTGGCACAAGCAGTTAAGTGCGCACGCTCTGCTGCGGCGGCCCGGGGTTCACCGGTTTGGATCCCAGGCGCACACCGATGCACCACTTGGCAAGCCATGCTGTGGCAGCTTCCCATATAAAGTGGAGGAAGATGGGCACAGATGTTAGCCCAGGGCCAGTCTTCCTCAGCAAAAAAAAAAAAAATCTCGTACAAATAAGCCAAATGTGTTAACTATGTCTTTTATTTTCTGTTTTCTGGTGCTTTGACATCTGGGACCTGGCTGACCCAGGAGAGATTGGACTCCCAGGGTTAGCCTATTCCTAGAGATAGCAAGCAGCTCACCTGGGAGAAAACACACCTGGGCATGTGCCTTTCAAATGCAAACCAACTTATCCAGAGCCCACCCTCAACTGCCTCATTTATCGGCTCTCACGCTCTGGGCCACCGTCCACCACACTCTCGGCCACTATCCACCTGCCCCAGTGACCCCAAGGTCAGGTACCAGACGATTGCAGACAGCCCCTGTGCCCTGGAGCTGCTGAAATTACTCAATCTAGCCCAACCTAAGCCTGATTACCCTGCCTCGCCCATTCCTTCCTGGAAAACCACAATAAAGGCTCATTTTCTCCTCCCCCTCCTTCTGCCTTCTGA